TGCTTTTATTTTGGTTTTATACATTAAGCCATCCCTGCAGGCCTAGAAAAGAGTGATTAGTTTTTTCAATGAGTCTACCACTGAGTAACCACAGAGAAAATCTTCAACATGGAAAACATTCATCAATTCCTAGGTTTCTCAATTGCAGATAAAATGAAAACTCTATGAACTAAGCACAGAGTTTAGGACAGGCACTGAGACTTTGCTATGACAGGATTGCCCATCTTATCACCATCTGGACCACACTGAGTACCTCACAGGAGGAGGTTCAGGTCTTGCATGTAATTTTACCCTAATCAAGTAATCCTGGACATAGTGTGGTGTCTGCTGTCAGGGCACATCACTCCAGTAGTCGTTAACAAATTAATTTGAAGAACAGTAATTTATACTTAGATGAAAACCCAAACCCGTTGCCATCCAGTCAGTTCTGACTCACAAAGAGCCTATAGAGGGGTCTGAGGTTGTACATCTTTATGGAAGCAAAGCAGCCTCGTTTTTCTTCTGAATATCGACTGGTGGGTTTGAACTGCCAACCTTTTGGTTCAGTTAGCAGTGCGGTTCTTATCCTGCAGCACCACCAGGGCTCCTTTATATTTAAGTGGTTGTTGTTGTTAAGGGCCATTGAGTCAGTTCTGACTCATAGCGACCTGAGGAGTGGATAGTGAGTTTGAACCACCGATCTTGTGGTTCAAATCTACCTTGTGGTCCAGTGCGCCACACCAGGGCTCTGTGCCCTACTCATGTAATAATCCAAAAGTGCAAATATCAATGTAGTTTTCATATATATTTGAATGCAAATTCAATCAAATGATGCTGTACTTTTCAAATTAAGACTATAAATGTAGTGTAAAATAAACATTTTAAACTCAAATCATAAGACGAATCATCTAATGATTTAAAATGTCTCTAATATTATCTTTTGGAATCCTGGTGTGATACTGTGAGTTTATACATTTGATTGCAAAGTCAGTTTGAACTGCAAGGTCGGTGGTTCAAGCTCACTAGCCACTCCTAGGAAACCATTTACAGGGTCACTATGGGTCACAACTTGATGGCACTTAACAACAAGAACAACAATAGTATCTTTAGGAGTTCTGGTACCCTACTGGGTTACACGTTGGGTTGCTAACCGCTAGGTCAGTAGTTCGAATCCATCAGTCGCATCATGCATGAAAGGTGAGGCTTTTCTCTTTTAGGTTACTATATGTTTCATCTTACTAAGGGAAAAATGTGGATTAATATGAAAACTGATTTCTCCGGGTCTCTTGGTGTGGTGCTGTAGGATAAGCACTAGACTCTGCACAGGTTTGGTGGTTCAAACCCACCAGCTGCTTCTCAGAAACCCTGAACAGGGTCTCTAGGAGTTGGAATCGACTCCACGGCACTTAACAACTGAACAGATGCCACCTTCCTGTTCCTTCTCCTCCTCCCCTCCATTTTTTGGTTTTTGGATTGTTTCCATAGTCCTGTGGAGATGCAAGCTAAAATGTCTTAGCCAACTTTTCCATGGTTCTCCTTTGCAGGGAGAGGTTATATCTGGCTTCCCTCACTGCCATTACTGGAGAGTTTTAACAAGAGAGAATCCTTTCTGGGTGGGACAAATGGTTAACATGCTCAGCTGATAACCAAAATGTGAGTGGTTTAATGGTCAGAGTCCTCCCAGAGGTGCCCTAAGCCAGAGGCTTGGTGACTGACTTCTAAACAATCAGCCAGTGATGCCCAAAGAAGCCTAATTGTATCTGATATACATGGGGTCACCAGGAATAGGACTCAACTTGACGGCTTTTTTTTTTTTTTTTTAAACTGGTACCATTGTTGTCCTTGTTAAGTGCCATCAAGGTAGTTCCGACTCCTAGTGGCCATGTATAAAGTTTTATATGAGGATGTCATTATCCCCACCTCTAGGACTGTAGGACTGAGCTCATTACTTTAATTATTACTATGGTTTTTGTTGTTATTGTTAAGTGCTGTCGAGTTGGTTCTGACTCATAGCGACCCTGTATAGGGTTTCTGAGAAGCAGCTGGTGAGCTTGAACTGCCAACCTTGTGGTTCAAACCAACTTTGCAATCCAAAGCATTAACCCACAGCGCCACACCAGGAACCTACTCTGTAGTATTATCATACTCTCTCTTCTTCTTTTTTTTTTTTTTTTTAAAAAAAAAGAAGCTTAAAGTTGAAAAAAAAAATGGGAGTTTCTGCAATTTAGACATTTAAATCCTTGAGATTTTGCATAAGAAAAAAATATGTTCCTAAACTGCTGTGATTTTCACTTGCTCTCTTTTCATCGGTTCTTCCTGGTGCTTTTATTTCAGCACTTTGAAAACTGGATCCTTTGTCTTTGTTCCAGGCTTCATCTGGTCCTGCTGCTTAATTCACACCTGATATCCTCCAAGTGCTTTCTCTGAGAACCAAAAGGGCTGCATGACGCTGGAGAGGAGGTGTCAGGTGGGGAGTGAGCAACAGGAGGTGGTAAGTTATGAGAGAAACATGCTTGTGTAGTTACAGCTAATGACCATCATCTTAATAAAAATATCACAGGAGAGAGAGAGAAAGGATACTGCTTGAATTAAAGGGAACTTGCACAATATTTAGAGACCTAGCTTTCCACCGCTTCTTGTTATTGAACTTCTGTGGAATTGGCTCCCACCTCATGGTGACTCCATGCACAATGGTAGGAAGGGTTGCCCAGTCCTTCACCCTCGCCATGTTTGGTTGTAGATCAGACCCTGTGATTTGCATGGGTTTTATTGGCTGACTTTAGGAAGATGACCACCAAGACTTCCTTCCTAGTCCATCTTAGTCTGGAAGCTCTGCTGCAGCCTATTCCATATCCTAGCAACACCCAAGCCTCCACTGCAGACAGGTGGTGATTGCACAAGAGGAGCATTGGCTGGGAATAGAACCCAGGTCTCCTGCAGAGAAGGCAAGAATTCTACCACTGGGCCACCACTGTTCTTCAACTGGTATTTATAGTTATCCTTTTGTAATTCCCACCAGCACATAAAATGAAAGTGGGAGAAAAAATGAGGCTGGCTGCTTCCATGAAGTTTTATAGCCTTGGGAACCCTACGCGTGGGCAGGTCTACTCTGTTGGAATTGACTCCACAGCAGAGGGTAATGAAATGAAAATCTTGCTCTTTTAAAGGCAGCTTTGGAGTTAATCAGTAACACAGTCTTTCTTTGCTTGTCAATAAAATATCGTTGCCAATAGATTGAGTCTGGTCTTTGAAGGTTAGGAACCAAGTATGTGTCCATGTCAGGCTCTCTCTCAACTTTCAAAAGTGGAAATCAACTCTGCCCAACTCAAGTGACCAGAGCCCATCACACCACCATCAGCAGGCGTCACAATATAGCCTCACTCCAATACTCAGCAACACTTAGAGAACATTCAGTGGGGGTAAATACTATCATGAAGGATTGCCTTCCCTGGAAACTATCTAAAAGTTGTGTCTACATTAAGTAAGACCATATTTTCATTAAGACAGCCTCTTCCTTCCATAAATTCATTATAGATTGCATTGCTTCACTCCCCAGTCGTCTCCCTACTCTGAACTGTGTTGGTAAGTCACTTTACTATGAAAATGTTATAGACAGTAGCATGTAGAATCTATCACTATGGTTCACCTCTTTATGCAGATCTGAAAAAGAACCCAGTCCCTGGTTTCACATTGCACCCCTAATGACCAAATAATTTGCTTGTTCCCACGGGACTGAGCCTGCTATTCAGAAAGCTTAGAGCTGAATTTGTGGATGTTCTACCAAACATAACCACAAGGTCAATGGTTCAAACTCACCAGCCACTCCTGGGAAGCTGTATACAGTGTTGCTATGAGTCAGAACCAACTTGACAACACTTAACAACAACAACAACTACCAAACATAGAGGACCTCAGGCCATGTCAGTTTTCCTTTAGTCTATCTCTTTCTCATTGTCTTTGTCAGATGTCCCTCACATAGTCTCTTTGCAGGTGGTTTTTATACCATTACAGTAGCCCCTGGCCACTCTGGTAGCATAGTGGTTATGAATTGGACTGCGAACCGCAAGGTCAGCTGTTCCGCGGGAGAAAGATGAGGCTTTCTGCTCCTTTAAAGATTTACAGCATCGGAAACCCTGTACAGGGTCACTATGAGTCGGAACCGACTTCACGGAACATAACAACAACAACAACAACAGCTGCTTCCTTTGGGAAATATAAGAAAACAGATGGGCAGTCACTGCTTTATGACACTTACATTAGGAATCTGGTAGACATTACATTTGTTATACCTTTCCAGCCTATGTACATTTAAGCATAAAATTTATGCTCTTTGAAGCTAACAATTATGTTCAGTCAGTACCGCACAACATTAGTTTACAGAGTTTACCCTTCCAAGAGAGTTGTGATCACCTACAGTTAAATTTTCAGGAGTAAACAGTATAGAGGCTGTGATTAGGTACTTCTGGGAAGTTTTTTTGTTTTGTTTTTTAATTTATAACTAAAGGATATCTCTTAAAATATCAAAAATAAGCTATTGTGGTACATTTTTTTGTTCTCCAGATATTTGCTTTACAAATTTGCATTAACCTAGCCAAATGGTCAACTACCTGGTCAAAACAAAAAATCGGGAACAAAAAAGAAAAAGAAAATTACTCTCTTAAAAGAATCAAGGCATTCTGCCCTATAAAGCAGAAATTATTTGTTTTTTATATAAGAAAACATTAGAAATAATTTGTCTTAAACAAACAAAACCACGATGGTTTTATTACTCATGTAAGAATATAATATTCTTTATTATATTCTACTCATATAGAATGCTGATACTTAGATATAGGAATAAAGAAACTTAATTTGAGTCATTTTCAATTTGGAAGTAATTTCTTTAACACATCATTATAGGTGTGACCAGGTAGAATTGCTGTTTTAGCCAACATTCAGATGGTCTACACATGCTCACCTTTGCCCGCCACATTAGCCACAACTTAAAAACATCAACATGACGCCCGCACTGCAGGGCCTTGTCTCCAGTGTCATAGGACAAGTCGTAGTGTTTATCTTGCTGAAAGAGGTAGGAGGCGTGCATCTGGTTGCAACTCTGCATCAGTCCCTAAAAGAGAGAAGACAAAACTTAGGAACCTCTACTGACTTTATCAAGTATTCTATTTGATTGGCATTGCAGTGGGAAAATATTTAAAAGAAGAAAGAGAGAGAGGGACATTATCCATCTTGGAAAAAGAAAACAGTGAGAATCAAATTAACAAAAAATTGGGGCCAATATCTTGATGCCTGCTATGATAGGTCAGCTCTATGGGATAAATGATTCAGGATCAAATGTCACTAGAAGTCAACAAGGGCATATTAATCCTTAAGAGCAGTCATTTACTTAAAAGGGGAAAGAGGTAGACACAATCAAAATGTAATGTTCATTCTTTGTGAGGGCACTGTGATGTTCCAGTTTTAATTAAAATATTTTGGCTACTCTTGGGTTCTGTAAAATCTTATTAGTGCAATTCTTCTAAAGTTTCATTCATGTTTAAGTCCTTTATTATTTAACTGTTGCTAGTGTTTGAGCTCTTTGGAAAACAGGCACATTTCTGGCTATCATACCTACATGTAATTTTGAGATTATTTAAATATTCAATTTTTCAAATCCCATGTAACTCTCTCAAGAGGAGCCAGAACTTCAGTACTGCATTTACATACTAAATTGCTTCAGGTAGTTTACAATGGAAAAAATGTGTTGTTCTACAACAGAACAAAGACCACTGATTTTCCCTAGCACCATAACCCTATTATGGAAAATGGGTGGCAAAGTGATTGAACTATTCCAAAGAAGAGGGAATGAATCATGCTTTTTGACTAAAGCAGCCCAGCCAGTCTCCTCACTAGGAACCCCACCACGTTTCAATTTGTCATGAACCATAGGGAGCCTTGAGCTTTTTTCTTTATCTACAAGATAATGGTAATTTTACAAAAAGTTTGGCATTGTTTCCCTTCTGACTCATGCCAAGAAAAGACAAGACTACAATGTGATCATTTAATTGAAGTTACAAGTGAAAACCCTTTATTTTTTTTTTTCCAACCTAAACTATAAATGCAATGTGACTAAAACTTTAACTAGATTCTGGAAGGTCAAATGCCAGATGATAGGCAAACAAAATGGGACTCCATTTTGCAGTTTAGGTTTCATATTCATTGGAAAATATTAAATTATGTTTGAGAGTAAGAAAAATTAAATATAATGCATTTGTACGAGTAGTAGAGCAGAAGGGAGATTTTGTAAAAGGAAATTCACTTGGAACTCAAATTGTAGCAGTGAAAATTGTAGCAGGTGTTTCTATTTTGTTTTATGGTCACAGAAAGTTGTTTATCTCTCTTTCTCCAGCCATGCAAACTCACAAATAGGTGCTATCAGTTACAATGGGAGACCACTCCCAAGAGTATGGAATTATGAACAGATCAGACCAGCTCCTACTGGGATAGGAAAACAACTCAAAACACCTGGCCTTTCCAATGACACCCAGAATCAATTCCATTACAGTAAAAACGCATAAACAGAAGTGATGTGATTTTTCATACTAAAGTCTTTGATGAAATAACATCCTGACCTGAACCACTGGAAAATTATAGACCACTGTGTCCCAAACTATTTTACACGTTAATAGTTGCTGCACAAAAAGAGATTACCATTGCCAAATAATTATGAAACTCTATCATAATTCCTTTCTTTTTGGATATTTACAATATATTTCATCATATTAAAGGCTCCCACAAGTTCCAAATTTACTGTAAGGATTGAATTATGTCCTCCCAAAGTGAAATGTTGCAAATTCTAACCTCTATACCTATGGTTATAATCCCATTAGGAAATTTTAAAGATAAATTAAAGCCATCCACTTGTGGTATTTCTGTTATAGCAGTACTGGAAACAGTTAAAATGTTGAAACAGTTTTGGAATTGGGTAATGGGTAGAGGCTGGAAGAGTTTTAATGTGCCTAATAGGTTAGTGGAGTCCTGATGTGGCACTGCGGGTTAATGCACTGGACTGCAAGGTCGGTCTGAACCACAGTCAGTGGTTCAAGCTCACCAGCTGCTCCTTGGAAACCCTATATATACAGGGTCACTATGAGTTGAAACTGACTCGATAGCACTTAACAACAACAATCAGTTGGTGGTTCAAAACTACCAGCTGCTTTGTGGGAGAACGATGAGGCTGTCTGCTCCCATGAAGATTTATAGTCTCATAAACCCTAAAGGGTCACTATGAGTCAGAATCAACTCAATGGCAGTGATGGGTATGAGTTGGAATTGACTTGACAGCATTGGGCTTGGTTTGGTTTGGAAAAGTAGAACTTGAGATTGCCTTGAAGAGACTTCTGGTAGAATAATGGGTATCAAAGGAATTTTGGTGAGGGTTCAGTAGGAAGTGAGGAGAGTTATAGAGGAAGCTTCTACGGTCTTAGATAATACAAATGGCACAAGCAAAATAATGTTGCTAGAAATGTGGATGCTAAATGTCCTTCTGGTGAGGAATTAAAAGAAGATGATGAACATGTGATTGGACAATGGAGCAAGAGTAATGCATTTCATGCAGTGCCCAAGAGTTAGTCTGAATTAAATGTTGGGAAGTAGAATTTGTAAGTGATTAACTTGTATCTGGCTGAAGAGATTTCTGAGCAAGATCTCAAAGGGGGTACATAGTTTCTCCTTGCCACTTATAATAAAATACAAGAGGAAAGAGATGGACTTAAAAGTGAACTATGTGGTGGGAATGAGGGCCCGGCTGTGCCCTGTATGTGACGCCCACCGCCACCCACAGCAGCAGCAACACGAGCCACTGCAGTCATGGGTGGTGAGGTTCGGCAGGCCTGGGAGGCTGAGAAGATGCCGCAGTCCAAGTTCTGTAAGATCGCTATCCTGGGCTACTGATCTGTGGCTTTTACAAAATTGATCACAGTAAATGGACAAGCATATCATATTCAACTAGGAGCCAGAGTTTGGCAAGATGAATATTCCATCATTCCTCAAACATACTCTATAGATATTAATGGTAATGATATTAATGGTAATCTCCTCATGTACTGTTACATCAATCAAAAGTTTTGAGGTGATAAAGTTAGCCATAGTAAATTGTTGGAGATGGTGGGGGAAGTTCAAATACCTATTATGTTGGTGGGAAATAAAAAAGACCTACATATGGAAAGGGTGATCAGTTATGAAGAAGGGAAAGTTTTAGCTGAATCCTGGAACACAGTTTTTTTTGTTTTTGTTTTTGTTTTTAATATTCTGCTAAAGAAAATCAGACTGCTGCTGATGTTTTTAAAAGGATAATTTTGGAGGTAGAAAAAATTGATGGAGCAGTTTCACAAGGAAAGTCTTCATGCTCAATGATGTTATTCTGCTGCACAACCTGAGGACACTGGGAATATGTTTGACCCCAGGAAGCAAACTGCCCATTTTTCTTTAAGAAAAATTACACTTCGGTTTCCTTCTGTTAAACTGAAAGATATCATTTGGGTCAAAGCTTCCCCTCCTCTCCCTGCTCCCACTTTCAGATTATGTGAAACTCTGACTGTCCAAATGAGTTCACTTCTATTTTCAAATTTTAAGCAATCATATTTTCAATTTATATGTTGTATTTCTTAATAATATTATGACCAAGAATTTTACTGGCATTAATTTTTCAGCAGAGTTTGTTGTTTAAAATAATGGTATTACCAAAATACCTATTGTTACACTACTCTAAACTAAGCTTGATACATCAATGTTTATTTCATTATGTTAAATGTATACTTGTAAATGAAATAGCTGAAAACCTTGGGGGGAAAAAAGCAAATTGTGCAAAATGGAAACAGAACTTAAAGATTTAGAAAATTCTGTTGCACAAACTAAGGACACACTGTACTAGAATGTTCAGAAAGGACATGGTTACACACCTTTCATTAAAGAGATTTAGTCAGTGACTGATAGATCTAACTAATTATCAGAGCAGAAAATCCAACAGTTTAGATGGAAGGGACAGAGAAAGAAGAGAGAGAATAATATTGTTTGCCTCTTGGGATTCTACAGGCAGGGAATAGACCAAAGGAGTTACATTTTTTGTCTTCCAAGTTAAAAAAAAAAAAAGTTCATCCTTGGAGCTGTTTGGAGACCATTGGGAGGATCATTGGAAGCAGAACCTTCTTGGTTTCAAAGGGTGGGGCCATGGCCTCCTAGGTTTCAAAAGTCTGATCTCCACCAATTTGGTTCTGGGGTACGGGACTACTGTTAAGGTGTGCCAGGGGCACCGCCCAAAGCTATGGGGTGAGGCTTCCATGCACAAAGGACAGACAGAAGAACAGGGCCTTATTGGATTGATGGGGTAGGGGCAACACTCAAATAGAGAATACACAACACTGCTATTGAGTTGATTCTGATTCACAGAGACCCTGTATAGGGGTTCTGAGGCTGTAAGTCTTTATAGGAACTGACAGCCTCATGGTTCTCCCACTGAGAAGCTGGTGGGTTTGAATTGCCAACCTTCTGGTTAACAGTATAGTGCTTATCCTACAGTGCCACCAGTGCTCCTTCAATTAGGAGAATAGGACTGCCCAAAGCTGAAGGGACAGAGATGCCAGCGTGGAAGGTGGATCTGAAGCCCAGAACTGAGGGGCATTCACCCAGAATCCAGAGAGCACGGCTACCAACACAGTCTGGAAGGAAGGGCCATTGTCCAAATAGACTCAGAAAAAAGATCATTATATTCAAGCGGGTTACTCCTTATCCTCTAACTTCTCCCATTTGTAATGGAAATGTTTACATTGTACTTGTTCCACCATTGTACTTTGGAGGCAGATAACTTGTATTCTAGATTTCACACGTTCTCAGATGAAGAGGAATTTTGCCTCAGGATGGAAAACACCTAAAGTCTCATTCTTATTTGAATGATATATCCAGAAGATTTTTTGGAGTTAGAGTTGATATAAGACTTTTGGGATGATGTGATAAGATGAATGTGTTTTGCATGTGGCAAGGACATGAATTTTTTGGGTAGGGACAAAGGGTGGAATGTTTTGGAATGAATGATGTCTTCTCAAAACATATATTATAAATGCTAGTCTCTATACCTTTAGTTATAATCCCATTTGGGAGTAGGTTGACTTTGCTACAATATTGAGGCAGGAATAGTGTAATGTGTATTTTGAGGTAATCTCTTTTGAGATCTAAAAAGATAAAACAAGAGACCTGAGAGAGAGGTAGGACAAAACAGATGCCAAGACACGTAGAGATTTCCAGAAGCTGAAGAAACAAGGATCTTCCTCCAGAGCCAACAGAGAGAAACACTCTTTCCCTAGAGGTGGTACTCTGAAGTCAGACTTCTAGTCTCCTAAACTGTGAGGAAATAAATCTCTGTTTTTTAAGCCAGTCACTTGTACTTGTTACAGCAACTCTAGATAACTAAGGCAGTAATGAAACTTGTTTTAAACTCTTTAATGATATACTTTTCAAGTGTTTTTGAGCTCAGAACCCTCTTATCACAGAATATTTATTAAAATCTGATTGCTGTTGTCATTAGGTGTTGTTGAGTCAGTTCCAACTCATAGCGACCCTGTATAAGGTTTCTAAGGAGCAGCTAGTGGGTTTGAACTGCTGACCTTATGGTTTGCAGCTCAGTGCTGATTCTGCAGCACCACACCAGGCACGGCATTATTCCCTTGCTGTGATAAGAGCAATAAGAGAAATGCTACCAGAGCATCATAAATTCTTGGATTTGGAAGGGATCTTGCAGCTCATTTATTCCTCACCAATGAGTGAATCCTTTTGATACCTTAATGAAAGTGGTCCTTGCTGGTTAGTTCATGTCTTACATTTTGAACATAGAAATAAATATAAATATATTGTTGTTGTAGGGTGCTGTAGACTTCAACTCATAGCAACCCCATGTGACAAAGTAGAACTGTCCCATAGGGTTTTCTATGTTGTAATCTTTATGGATACAGGTCTCCAGGTCTTTCTGCCATAAAGCCAATGGTGGGTTTGAACTGCCTGCCTTTCCGTTAGCATTTGAGTGCTTAACCATTGTGTCACCAAGATAACTTAAATATTCAACACATGAGAATATAACTGACACATACGCACATACACACCCCACCCCTATATTCTAACAATAACCCCTCATCCGATATTCATGGATATTTTTTCTTGTGGTGAAATTGGTTTCTGGTTTTCCTAGTTATATCTGGAAATTTACATCTTAAAACTGGAAATTTAATTCCTTGAGAGTAAAATAGACGATTTCTAGATTTGAGAACATCAGGCACAACTGAGGAAGGGAGCATCAAACTGAGAAGTGGAGACAGGTCAAAGTCTGTATTTTGAAAATTGAAGCCCAGTAAGACGTCTTTCCTCTATTAGCATAGGCAGGCATTTATAAGAATACTTTCTGGGGAATCTGAGTAACTCAGTAAAAAATACTTAAAGGTATTAGTAACACTGAGCATGTCAGTTGAATGCAGATAGTCAAAGCCCTGGGTGAACTGAAATAACAAAGTCAAGAAGGACATACCTTTTCTCTAACCAGGAGAGCAGAACATTGCAAAGGGACACCCATCATCTTGTGTGGATTCCATGTCACAGAGTTGGCCCTAAAATAAACCAAATCATGTTAAGAGGGTGACATCCCATGACAAGTTCAGACTACTAAGGCCCGTTGGACAGGCAGCAGAGCTTCTGGGTTCTATGGCACACTCTCAGACTCCAGGACAAACACTAAATGTACAAAACAAATGGATCTGTAAAATGCGCAGTAGTTTCCCAGGGCTTCCAACCAGTTGAATCAGTACAAAACTCTGATGTTTTTTGAGTCTATTGAGACCGTAAATAAAGCAAAACAGTGCTGTCAAGACAATTATGACTCGTGTGTTTCACAGCAGAACTGTGACCTTTCAAAAACAGATCTCCAGCCTTGTCTTCCAAGGACTTGAACTATGAACCTTTCAGCTGTGCAAATTTGTGGCACCCTGGGACTCAGTTTAGCAATGTAACTTCATTGTTGCTGTTTAAGTGCTGTTGACCTTGTATTGGGTTTCCAAGGAGCATCTGATGAGTTTGAACCTCCAACCTGTGGTTCAGTGCTTTATCCCACAGTGCCACACCAGGACTCTGTAATGTCATCACTGCTTTTTAAAAAGTGAGATGTCTATATTCTCCAGAGCTCCCGTGTTGTTGCTGTTGCTATTAAATGCTGTTGAGTTGGTTCCAACTTGTAGCGACCCCGCATAGGGTTTCCAAGGAGCAGCTGGTGGTTTTGAACCACTGACCTTGGGGTTAACAGTCCAGTGTTTATCCTACAGGGCCACACCAGGACTCCAGAACACGAACGTCTTCATTCTGCATCCATAGTGGGCCAAGAGTCCAATGCCTTGACTTTGGCCAATGATGAGCAGCGTACCAGGCAGGGCTTCCACTATCCCTGAGTCTAACACTAATATAATAATAGCCTGCTGGACAGACAGATCACACATTCCACTGCTTAGTTTTGTTATTTTCTTGGGTCAATTTCTCTTCTTATTTAACTGATTACCAAATTTCTCAAGAATGTTTTTCTTGCAACATCTTCTAGGAAGTCTCCTGCTTTTATTTCTTCTCTAATCCAGAGTTATTTTACCGAACTGCACAGATTTTCAATCTTTTTTGTCCCAACACACCTGAGTAATAAACTGCCTTCCCGTCTGTAACAGTAGCTCACAAAGCAGTGATTCTCAGCTCAAGGGTTTATGTTAGTTGAAAAATCTGAATCATAGTCCTAGTTCAGACTCCTTTAGAAAAAATGATTATTGCTATTTTAATCTGGATATTGCAATAGCATTTTAACTGACTCTTGAGCTCCAGTATAGCCTCCACCAGGTCACCTGAGTAAACTAGCTCTGTTGTTAGTCCTCTCCTCTTCTGAAATTGTTGACAACTCCCTTTGTATACAGAATGAATTGCAAATGGCAGTGTATGGCTCTTGAAAACTGCATGGCTGAGCTCCTCAACATTTTGTATCCATTCACTTCCCATCACCCATTTTTTGTCACACCAGGTTTTTTTCCAGGTTTATTTTTTGTTCTTAGAAAATTCTATTGAATTTTCTGTTAGAATACCCTTCTAATGCCACTTCTTTCTGAAATGCTATCATTCTTAGTATCACTTGGTTTAATCTTATTTATTCTTTAGAACCCTCATCAAGTACTATGTCTGCAACCTTCTTAAACTCCTCTCCCTCATACAAGTGTGTTCTTCCAGTCCCCTCACATTCTCTGAACCCCAGATCTCTGGGAAAGTAACTGTTCCCACCATAAGTTCCCACCATGCATTTCATGGTGAATCTCAGAGTACTGTATTTTTACAAACAACATGAGCCTTCTATGTTTGTTTGCCAACCACTCCCTTCCCCCAGAAGGTATTTTCTGTAAACATCCATAAGGCCAATTTTTGTTTTTTTAACACGTTGCTGAGAATGGTGGATCCTGATTGATGAGAATCATGATCATGAATGTGACCTTGGTATAAACCCACAGAAGGAAGGAGAGTGGTAGAATAATACAAGACAGCTGGATCTACAGGGTCCCTGGATTTCTGCTCCTCTGGTTGATCTTGGACTTACTCTGTTTCCATAGCTTGGAGTGTTAGAGTTTGGGGAAGAATCAAGAAACTAGGAAAGAGCCTATTCATTCATTCGACAAATGGTGGTGTCAGCTACTCATGCAGAGAACACTTAGTGATCTTATCTGAGTAAATGAATAGTGTGGCTCATCTTCTTGTCTTTCTTTGACTCTGACATTAACTGTTAGATACATTTAGGATTGGAATGGGGGTGGGTGGGTATAGAAATAAAGACAGCTCATGTCCAGATGGCTAAACTCCTGAAGGAAGGACTACATAGCTTCATGAATAATTCCGAAACTGTAGCCTTGAAAAGCTCCTTTCAAGAAAATCTCTCCTTGCTCTGTAGAATGACCCTTGAGCCAAGATTACAGTGGTTTGGGTTTGCATCCAAGTTCTATTACTTCCTAGCTGTATCATTTTTAACAAGTTACTTATCCTCTGTGTCTAGATTTCCTTGTCTGTGAACAAATAGTAACAGACGAGGTAACAAGCTCATGACTGTGCCTAATCCCAAACAAAACCAAAACCTCTGCCTTTGTTTCTATTCCAACTCACAGTGACTCTGTATGGGGTCTCTGAAGCTGTAAATATTTGCTGCTATTGTTGTAGTTAGGCGTCATGGAGTTGGATCCAACTCACAGCAATTCTACGTACAACAGAATGAAACACTGCCCGGTCCTGCACCATTCTTACAGTTGTTTTGCTTGAGCATTGTTGCTGCCACGGCACCAATCCATCTCACTGAAAGTCTTCCTCTTTTTTGCTGACCTCCACTTTACCATGGGCTTCTTCTCCAGGGTCTGGTCACTCCTGATAATATGTCAAGTATGAGAGATGAAGTCTGGCCACCCTGGTTTGGGAGGAACATTCTGGCTGTATATCTTCCACCACAGATCTGTTTGTCCTTCTGGCAGTTCAAGGCACCGTCAATATTAGTCTCCAACACCATTAACACAAATGCATCTATTCTTCTACGATCTTCCTTATTCATTGTCCAACTTTCACATGTATATGAAGCTATTGAAAATACTATGATGTGGATCCGGTGCACCTTCTCTTTTCTTTTGAACACTTTAATGAGGTCTTGTGCAGCAGATCAGACATAATGCAATATGTCATTTGATTTCTTAACTGCTGCTTCCATGGGTGCTTATTGTAGATCAAAGTACAATGAAGTTTTTGACAACTTCAATCTTTTCTCCATTTATCATGATGTTACTTATTGGTCCAGTTGTGAGGATTTTTATTTTCTTTATATTGAGATGCAACCCATACTGAAAGTTGTAGTCTTTGATCTTCATCAGCAAGTGTTTTAAGTTCCATTCCCTTTAAGGAAGCAGGGTTGTATTAGCATTTTGCAGGTTGTTAATGAGTCTTCCTTCAATCCTGGTGCCATGTTCTTCTTCATATAATCCAGCTTCTCTGATTATTTACTCAGCACACAGATTGAATAAGCATGGTGAAAGAATACAGCTCTGGTGCACACCCTTCCTGATTTTAAACCATTCAATATTCCCTTGTTCTGTTCTAACAACTGCCTCTTGGTCTATGTACAGGTTCCTAATGATTTCAATTAAATGTCTGGAGTACCCATTCTTCTCAATGTTATATAAAGTTTGTCATGATCCACACAGTGGAAAGCCTTTGCAGAGTCAAGAGAGCACAAGTAAACATCTTTCTGATATTATCTGCTTTCAGCCAAGATCCACCTGACATCAGTAGTGATATCCCTTGTTACATGTCCTCATCTGAATCCAGCTTGAGTTTCTGGTATTTGAATCTCTGTCAATGTATTGTTTAGTCATTTTAAAATTATCTTTAGAGAAATTTTTACTTGCATGTGCCATTAATGATTATGCTCAGTGATTTTTACATTCCTTTGAATCTCCTTTCTTTGGGATGGGTACAATTGTGGACCTCTTCCAGTTGGTTGGTCAGGTAGCTGTCTTCCAAATTTTTTTTTTGCATAGATGAGTGAGCGCCTCCATTTTCAATTTGCATTCCATCAATTTCTGGCACCTTGTTTTTTACCAATGCCTTCAGTGTACGTTGGACTTCTTCCTTCAGTATTATCAGTTATTGACAATATACTACTTCTTGAAATGGATGAACATCAACCATTGCTTTTTGGTACAGTGACTCAGTGTATACTTTCCATCATCTTTTGATACTTCTCCATTATTCAATATTTTGCTCATGGTGGTGGAGTTGGTTTTGACTCATAGCGACCCTGTACAGGGTTTCTGAGGCTGTAGATCTTTACAGGAGCAGAAACCCTCATCTTTCTCCCATGGAACAGCTGGTAGTTTCGAACTGCTGACCTTGAGGTTAGCAGCCCGATTCGTAACCACTATGCTACCAGAGTTCTTTATTGTGCTCATAGACTCCTTCAATATTGTAAGTCAAGGTTTGATTTCTTTCTTCAGTTCTTTCAGCTTGAGATATGCTGAGCATGTACTTCCTTTATGGTTTTCTAACTCCAGGACTCGCACATCTCATTTTAATATTTGACTTTATCTTCTGGAGCTGCCTGTCATCTGGCATAATAAACCAAGTGATTGTCTGAGTCGAATGGCCAGCCAGTACCAGTTCATTTGAGCTCACATATACCTAGGATATCGAAGTTCATGTGTTCTATTTCATTTTTGACAAATTCCAATTTTACAAGATTCGTACTTTGTACATTCCACATTCCCATTATTAATGGATGTTTGCTGGGGTTCCTCTTCATTTTGAGTTGTGCCCTATCAGCAAATGAAGGTTCTGAGAGCTTTACTCCATTTTGTCATTATGGTTAACGAAATCCTCACCACTGGACTAATAAACAACATTCTTATCAATGGAGAAAAGATTGAAGTTGTCAAGGACTTCATTCTTCTTGGATCAACTATCAATACTCGCAGAAGCAGCAGTCAAGAGATCAGACGACATATTGCATTGGGCAAATCTGCTGCACAAGAACTTTTTAAAGTATTGAAGAGCAGAGCTGTCAGCTTGAGGACTAAGGTGCGCCTGACCCAGGCCATGGTGTTTTCAATAGCCTCATATGGATGCGAAAGCTGGACAGTGAATAAGGAAGATCGTAGAAGAATTGATGCCTTTGAGTTGTGGTGTTGGAGGAGAATACTGAAAGTGCCATGGACTGCCAAAAGAACCAATAGATCTGTTTTGGAAGAAGTGCAGCCAGAGTGCTCCTTGGAGGCCAGGATGGCTAAGCTTCGTCTCTCATACTTTGGACATATTGTCCGGAGGGAACAGTTACTGGAGAAGGATGTCATGCTGGGTAGGGTGGAGGGTCAGAGAAAAAGAGAAAGACCCCTAATGAGATGGGTTGGCCAGGTGGCATCATTGATGGACTCAAGTGTGGCAGTGGTAGTGAGGTTGGCCCAGGATAGGACATTGTTTCGTTCTGCTGTGCATGGGGTCACTATGAGTTGGTTCTGACTCAATGGCACCTGACAATAACAACTACTTTGAGGAGGCAGCTCTTCCCCAGTTATATGTATGTCCCTTTCAACCTGAGGGGCTCATCTTCTGGCACTCTATCTGACAATATTCTGGTGCTATTTATAATGTCTTCATCTTTCAGTACTACAGCTGACAATGTTCTACTGCTATTGATAAGGTTTCTCAGTGGCTAAACATTCAGAAGTAGCTTGCCTCTTCTTCTTCCTAGTCGGCTTTAGTCTGGAAGCTCTGCTGAAACCAGTCCACCAGAGGTCAGTCTGCTGGTATTTAAAATACCGGTGTCATAGCTTCCCGAATCACAGCAGCACACAAGCCGTCACAGTACAACAAACCGACATATGAGTGGTCAGAAGCAGAAAGTCTTGTTTTTCTCACTGAGGAGCTGGTGGGTTTGAGTTGTTGACTTTGCAGTTAGCAGTCCCGTGCTTATCCTACAGTGCCTTTAAATAAAGTTGATTCTTGCTTGCTATTGATTTCATTTCTGTCATTTACTGACTTTGTGATATTGGGCACACACTCCCTGCTAGCCTATACATTCTATTATGCCTCTGCAGCCATTTTCTTCAAGCATCTAGCCCCCAAACCTCCGTGCCATCTTTGCTTCTTTTTACCATTCTCCTGATAGCATTCTTCACAGTTCTGTTTTTTGTGTCCTCTGTATTCATTCACCATTTCCATATTCACTGCAACTGTGCCTGTTCACATTTTCAGTACCTGTTACCTCCTGCGCTTGGACTTTCATAACAGCTTTTCATTAGGCCCTGGCTTCTATCTCCTCTCTAATCTAGTTATCGTTCTAAAATGCAGATGAAATAATATCACTTTTCTCCTCAAAAACCTGCTATGGATCTCACAGTGGCAGTTTGCAGTCTTTTTTCCCTCAATGTTGTTGTTAAGTGCCATCAAGTCGGTTCCGAGGAGCAGCTGGTGAGTTTGAACCGCTGATCTTGTAGTTCAAACCCCATCTTGAGGTCTAGTGCTTATACTACAGCACCACATCAGGACTCCTTTTCCTCAACATACACGAGTAATTTACTGCTCTCCCATCTAACAACATGGCTCACACAGCATCCATACTCTGCTCAGGGACTTATGTGGCAAGAACTAATACCTCCAGGGGATTCCGATTTGCTCTGCAGGCTGGTCTTCTGACGAGACTCACAGGACAGGCCTTCAGGACTTTCACTAACTTTCCACTAACATCTGCAGCGGCCTCCATTGCCCCCTGCATCCATCTCATTTTCTATTCCAACCAGTCTGAGTTTTCTTCCAGAACCTGCGTGCTTCCAAACCTTGGTGCTACTGCTCATGAAGCTGCTTCTGTTTGAATACCCCTATTCCATTTGCTTCTGGATAAAGACTCCCCATCCACTGATACTAAGTGCCAACTCCACCACCTTGGTGGGAGCTTCTGTTAATAGACCTATTCAGAAAGGCCCATTCATTCCTACCTCTGTGCCCTCCAATCACAGTTCGCTTCTCTTTCGTCTCAGTCTTTACTTCTTCCTGCCTTGAATTTTGACCCAGTATTGTCTGTCTTCCCTACTAGAATCTAAATTCTATTAAGACAGGCTTCATATCACAATTGTCTCTGTGCCCTCACTGGGCCTACTGCTGGAGCTTGCCTCTAACAGATGTTTAGTAACTGATGAATTGAATTTCTGAATTCTCACAGCAATTGGTACAGCAGACCCTGCACTGGAAACTTCACCTGAACATGAAACAGAACATAGAGAAGCAGTAACCTGCAACATTGTTAGTTGCCATCGAGTGGATTCCAATTCATAGTGGCCCCGTGTGTGTACAGTAGAACCTCTCCATAGGGTTTTCAAGGTTATGACCTTTTGGATACAGATCATCAGACCTCTAGGTGGCTTTGAACCACGAAGCTTTGGCTAGTAGTTGACAGTTGAACTGCATCACCTAGGGACTCCTAGCCTGCTATGAGGAGGAATAAAGAAGGACCCATTTATAATACATAGAAATATACTTGGAGTATCTTGGCACACACAGTCTGCTCTGCTGTGCATCTTCTAAAATTCTGACAGTCTGAGTAAGGAAAAGAGTTGTTCTCTGAGAATTTAGTTGGTTCCCAAAGGGCTCTGTGTGCTTGCACCATAGTATTATATGAGGACAGCATTCTGTGGATCCTCTGGGACCACTGGGGGATAATCCTAGATTTTGAAACAATAATTGGCCATGGATTTTCTCCAAAGAACTTTGGTTCATAATACTTAGGAAAATGTAATATCCTCAAGTGAGGCAATTTTTTCCCCCTAAAGTTGGGCCTGGGGTCTTAGTGTGGTGCTATTGAATAAGTAGTGGAATGCTAACTGCTAGGTCAGTGGTTCAACCCATCAGCACTCCTCGGAAACCTTATAAAGGGTCACTATGAGTAGGAACCAACTCGATGGCACTTAACAACAGCAAAGATAGGCTCCCTCACATTATGCCGTGAGACTTCCATTGGTCCTACAATCTTATTCAGTAAAGAAAATGGGTCTCTTTCTAATAAGTTGATCAAATAGATACCCTCCGGTATGCAGACAGTTAAGGGGGTTCTCCTCAAGCAGAAGATTGGCAGTCTATTCATTGTGTGGACTTCATTTTTTATTATTTCATGTTGCTGATTTAATTATGATCTGTTTCAAGAACTGTAGCAACTAGAGGACTCTGTGTTCTGAGTGAATGTTCTGAGCTTTGCTCCCAAATAATAGTCTTTAGTGCAAAAGCATGTGGGTGTTCATTTTTCCAAGACTCAGGGTAGGTAATTTAGTGAGCTTTTAAGTACCATTGGTGGAGGGTGCTCAGTGGTTTTCAAGAGTTGGAGTCATAAATGGCATTAAAGGTAAAATAACAGACACTCACTTTTTGTGCCAGTCAGAAAGTGACTCAAAGTTTAGAATGTGCTGTGTGCAAAACCTTCTCTCAAAAAACCCAGGAATTTAATTCTTCCTATTATCTAAGATGGCACCTTCTAAATTGTTCACTTTTTCATTGCCTCTCCCTAAGCTTCTGATTTCATATGGACCTTTATGACGGAAAGGAAATAGATCTGGAAAGTCCAGAACGACCAGAAGTAGAGGTCCAGAATGCTCTCACTCTGGGAGGGCTCATGTCTGCCCAGAGCCTGCATCCACCCACACCTAAAAGGACACCTTGAAATAAGAACAGGGCAGGTCTAGGGGCTTAATCTAGGTACACCCAAGCCAGATTTCAACCCTAAGCAGAGACTCAGGAAGAGTCACATTCCAACATGGGCCTTGCTGGTCTATCCTGACACTTACCAAGACTTCTTTCCACTAATATGACAGTCAGGGTGCCTGACTCTGCCACAGTAACCTCAACACCCACCTCTTGCCCCGTGGACTCTCTGGGTGTGAGCCTGAAGCCTGGCCTGGCTGCCCTGCAAAACCAGTGCTGACAGATGCTTCCCAGCTTCATCAGTATCTCTCCTCATCCAGAAATAGATATTGTGCCAAGATGTCAGAGTCAGAGGAAGAACTTTTCTTGGGCAGTATCTGTCTGCTTAGCAGGGCATAGTGGGCATTTGGCAGTCTCAGATGAATTTTGTTTCTCAGTTGCCTGGAGCGTCAGAGTATACCACTGGAAGTGACATGCCACCATGTGATGGGAGAACCCGCATCTCTGAGCTCTCCCTGCATGTCGTTCTGACCAAAGTTTCAGGTGATTTTGCATTCTGTACCTTAATTCCCCCACCTCCTCCTTTGGACCTAATAATACTTTATGCTTTGCAGTGTGTGTAGCACTTTTCTTAAAAATTATCACAAGAATGAACTCACAAGACCATGTCATCATGAATAAGTCTCCTTTGAAGTAAACTAGCCATATTAAACCCCAACTTTTCAACATTTTTGGTGTGTTTATTTGCTTTGCAAAATTATTTGTTGGTTTGTATAAAGGCAGTGGGGTATTAACCTTTTATAGAACATGAAAGCTATAGACTCTCCCCCATGGAAAAAAATGTAGATTGCCTGACAGTTGTAAACAATTCTGGTGGTTGGGTCAGCGGCCCCAGAAAGGTCGTTCCTGAGACTGCCAGTGAACCATGAACCCTAGTAATGAGTCTCTATTTGAGAGCAATTTCACCTGGGTCAATTGATAAGAGATTTAATTTCTTTTCGTTGTTTACAAATAATCAAGCTTGTAATGAACGCACAAAGCCATGCACACAGCATTGTACAAAGTGGACTCACTTGTATTCTAAGAGTCCATGGAAATTGAGTGGAGATTTGATTATCATATTTAGCTTTCACACTTCACATTGTTAATAAGAAAAATGTGTGTACCTTTCCACGCCATTCAGTTTCCACTTGTGTTTCCGGGATACCAGTAATCCTCCGCCCCAAGCTGCCTGAAAAAAGAAGACGATGAACCTTTCTCCTTGTCCTGAAACAGAAACTGGGCCAAGATGTCTCCGAGGGGAAGAAGGTAGCAGTTTTTCATGGACTAGATTTCTAGTGTTTGGTGTCTTCTAGGACACAGTGTTTTTCAGGGTGAAAATAATTTCCTTGACCTTAAGCAACTTACCAAGGAGCTCTGGTAGCACAGTGATTATGAATCAGGCTGCTAATCTTATGATCATCAGTTGGAAACTATGAGCTGTTCTGCAGGTGAAATATGAGGCTTTCTGCTCTCATAAAGATCTATAGCCTTGGAAACTCTATACGGGATCACTATGAGTCGGAACCGACTCCACAGCACATCACCACCAACACCACTAAGCAAATGGCTAGACTCCTAGTGTGGTGCTGTAGGATTAGCACTGGCGTTCAAACCTCAAGGTCAGCAGTTCAAACCTACCAGTTGCCATTTGGAAACCCACCCTATACAGGGTCACTATGAGCAGGAACCTACTCAGTGGCATGAAACAACAAAACAACTTACCAGACTCCTGGTGTGGTGCTGTAGGATAAGCACTGGACAGCTAACTGCAAGGTGGATGGTTCAAATCTACCAGCCGCTGTTTGAAAACCCTATACAGGGTCACTATGAGACAGAAGTGTCTTGATGGCACTTAACCAGAACAACAACAAATAATTTACTTGGGTGAACAGCAGCTCTGTAGGGTAAAAACTGGGCTGAGAACCATATAGTCAGTGAGTTTGAACCGCTGATCTTGCAGTTCAAACAGACTGCAGTCTAGCGCATTAACCCACAGTACCACACCAGGACTCCACTAGCATCCTATGGAGTTGGTTCCAATTCACAGTGACTATGTACAGGGCTTCTGAAGCTGTAAATATTTATGGGAGCAGAAAGCCTCATTTTTTTTCCCATGGAATGGCCGGTAGTTTCAAACTGCTGACCTTGCAGTTAACAGCCCAACTTGTAAACCACTACGCTATCAGAGCTATCACCCTTAGAAGCAGTAAAGTTGTGTTCTCAGAATGAGAAACGTTACATTCTCCACAGTTAAAGATAAAGACAATGGGCTGGTTCCTATTAAACAGCTTCCAAGTTGAAAAACTTTTTTGAGGAATCTGGATGATTTCAGAGGGAGAGACCAGCTGAAAGACCCTATTTTACTGATGTTTAATTTTGCACGAGATAATTTCTCTGTTCAAAAAAACCAGACAGGAAACATTCATGCTAGTCAATTAGTTGAAATATTAGAGCAGGCCCCTTAAAAATTTGTATTCAAGTGTGAAGATTTGAATTGGGGTAGCAAACAGGACACTTAATTTGAAAACAGGATGTCAATATGAAGACTATTTTGAAAATATTGACATTCTTTACTCTGTCTGTGAAAAGAACATTGGATTATTTTTAAAAGAAAAAACACCTGTTAAGGTGTAATTGTGTGTTTTTTTTCTTGTGATTTCAATTCTTTTACACTTTGAAAAGTTATCCAATTTTCAAAATATGTAATATCTTTAAGATCATTTCTAATTTAATTATAGAATGTATAAACATTAAACATTAGCATTAATAAGAGTGAGTGGTAAATTTGATATGTTTCAAACAAAAGTTAATATGATCGGTTAAAAGATTGCCCAGCTCCAAATAAGTAGAAAGTCTGGGACAGAGATCACAACATCGGTCGGCATAGGTCGTGTACATTTTGTTTTTTTTTAAATTATTAAGGTAATCAGCTCTCTGAATCCGCTAGCAAGATTTTAATAGGCTTTCCAGTTCTGAGGACTAAGTACTAATGGTACTTGACTTATTCAACTTTTGGATCTCCAGTATCTCCAGTATCTTCTCGTACAAAATGAAGGGGTCTCCTTGGTAGCCTATTCAACCACTCACACTGTCTATTGTTATTTTGTTATTGTTATGTGCCGTGGAGTCGGTTCCGACTCATAGTGACCCTGCACAGGGTTTCCGAGGCTGTTAATCTTTACGGGAGCAGAACGCCTCATCTTTCTCCCGCGGAACCGCTGGTAGTTTCGAACTGCTGACCTTACGGTTCGCAGTCCGATTCGTATCCACTACGCTACTAGAACTCCTTGCACTTAACAACAACAACAACAAAGTTATCCTACATAGAAATTACCTATCTTCTTTTCCTCCCCTAATAGACAGTGTGTCTGTTTGTCTGTCACACTGTCTATTAGGGGAGGAAAAGAAGATAGGTAATTTCTATGTAGGATAACTTTGTTGTTGTTGTTGTTAAGTGCTGTTGATTTCGTTTTGATCCATAGACACTCTGTATAGGGTTTCCAAGGAACGCCTGGTTAGCTTGAAATGCTAACCTTGCCTTTCAAACCAACTTTGTAGTCCAGCACATTAACCCACAGCACCACACCAGGACTCCAGGATAACTTTAGGATAAATGGAAATTTACCTAGCTTAGCCTGTAATTTTCTGCTTCTACAGAGAGGGGAATTAAGTTGGTCTGAGTACTTACTTATTATAAGGCTGAAGTGATCTAAACCAGTGCTACCCAAAGTGCTAGCCCACAGCAACATATGAATTTGTAACAAAATGTAAATCAGCTGATGCCTTTCTTCACTAAGAAAGTCTTGTAAAGAAAAAAGTCAACTAAACCAAACACTGTGCTTAGTGATGGTTTAGCCCAAGTCCTTATCCCTTCACAGATTGTTAACCAACAGTTTGCAGATTGCAACCGATCTTTGAAACACACGGATCTAAATCTATTCAATTCATTGTTCTAAAAATGGATGTATTTTTATAATTTAAAAAGATTCGGGGGTATTGTTGTTAAGTGCTGTCAAGTCAGATCTGACTCATAGTGATCCTGTATAGGGTTTCTGAGTAGCAGCTGGTGGATTTGAACTGCCGACCTTTTGATGTACAGTCCAGTGCTAATCCTACAGTGCCACACTGGGTACACTTCCATTATTTTTTAGTGAGACTAGCTTCAAAACTTCTTAACTACAGCCTTTCTTTCAGCTGATCAAATTCATCGATGATTAGAAATTGAGTTGATTTCCTAGCACATTATCAAATCTATTTTCATCTTTAAACATACAAATATCTGAGTTGAACCTGAGATTTTGAACCTCTAACTTTCCTGTATAGATTTTCTGATTATTCTTGCAAGAAGGTAATATCTGCAAGTATGTGAATGTATGTATATGTAGTCTGTATTCCTTCAGGGATGTTTACAGCTCAATGAGTTGAGATCTAAGCGGTCATAGAAATAAAAATATGCTGGGGACATTAAGGAATAATCAGCCTCCATCTGCTGCCTGTGAATGTCCTGTGAGTTGTGTGCTACTTTGTTTCTGCTTAAAAGCTTAAATAGTACCATTCTGGAAATTAGTCCATAAAGTAAAAAAAGGAAGAAAAAAAAATCATTCTGTGAGCATTAGATGAAAAAATGTACAATAACATTTTAATGGCCAGCCCTTAGTGGGATACTTACATCTACATGCATCCAGATCTTATATTTTTTGCAAATGTCGGCAACAGCTAAGAGGGGATCAAATGCTCCATACACGGTGGTTCCAGCAGTGGCACTCACAAGGAAAGGAACAAATCCCTACACAAAGGAGAAAGCCCCCAAAATGTAAAACAGCAGTATTTCAAGGATTCTTTTTAAAATTTGATGACAACAATGGAAATTTCCCTCTTACCATACTCATCTGCATTTTTGTGAATGATTAGGAAATTTATTGACACCCTAGGTGGTGTAAATGGTTTGTGTTCAAATGCTACCCTAAAAGTTGGTGATCAGAACCCACCCAGAGGTGTCACAGACAAAAGGCTTGGTGATCTGCCTCCGTTAAAATTATAGCCAAGAAAACACTATGGGCACATGGGATTGTCATGAGTTGGAATCAACTTGATGGTACAATGGTTTGGTTTTGGGTCTTGGAGCTTGGTAGAATCTGTGTTCACTTTCCAGGACCTGAGTTCTCCAGTCCACTTTGGAGGTTCTGACACCCAAAGGTAAGCTTTTTGGTGTCCATGGAGTCCTGATGTGGCACTGCACTGGACTGCAAGGTCAGTTTGAACTTCAAGGTCAGCAGTTCAAGGTCACCAGCCACTCCATAGAAACCCTATAAGTCAGAACCGACTCAATGGCACTTAAAACAACAACAATCATTTCTATGTTCTAGGTAGATTCCAGGCCTTCCTCTACACCTTTGCAAACTGTCTAGTCTTCCTGATTCATAACAGTGAATCTGAGCTTAATAAATCCCATAGAATAAACGGGCAAGAGAACAAAAAGAAAGAACTCTGACCATCCCATTGTACTAATTTGTTGGAAAATCCTGTTACTTTACTTGGAGTCTTAGTGGGGAGGGTTCATATGAAGCAACATAATTTGCGGTGGCTTTTATCCTTCTCAATAGTCTTCAGTCTATATGGCCATGGAGAAATGAAAACTGATTGAAACTATAGGCTGATACTGAAAGAAGGCAGAAAAATTCCACAGACAGGATGATGAATATATTTAAGGTATAGCTCAGAATTCAACATGTTGATGTTACAGGAAGAGTCTTTAGGTGGCAGCAAAGATTTAATTTTGTGGTTTATTTTACTAGAAGTAGTTTCAGTATAAGAACCAGGGAAACTTTCTTCTACTGTCACTTTGTAGAAAGAATATAAAAAGAATTATTCCTGAGTTTATAATAATAAAGTACACGTGTGATGCCACAGAACCAGGAACTGCAGGTTATAGCCGCTGAAAGTTACACGCAGTGTTCTAAACATCCAAGGATGTTAATGAGTTCTTGTGGAAACCTTTAACAGGTCTGCAGAAATTGTTACTTCAAAAAACAGTAACTGAATTGCCTCCTGTAAAATAAGGTATTTGGAAAGCCAATCTTATCAGTTATGTGTTTATGCAGGAAATACTTTCAAAAAAAGAAAAAAACAAAAGTATACATTAGTGACTCACAAACTGATTAGCATTGGGGTATTTGCAACTTGTGAAAATTATCTTTCAAATGTGTGTTTGTTTAATGCTAAACTTCAACATACAAGGAAGACAATGCTTTGGAAACTCTTACACTATCTCTATATATATTATTATTTATTCAGCAGCTTAGATTGAATAAAGCCAAGTCTGTAACTCAGAGAAATAAATGATAGGATGGAAAAACTCCACGTTCTCTTGAAAGGTGGGAGAATGGGGTTTGAATGCTATTTAAAAAATAAAACCAGAGTGCATTTCTTTACTGTTGGAATAGAAGTATGAGGTGGCTTCAAAAGTTTGTGGAAAAATTACATTATCTTTCAATACCGTTTTTCATGAAGTTTTTGAAGCCTCCATGCATGTATTCCCAGCTCTGTACAACCCTACCCCAGACACTTACTTTCTGTTTGGCTTCAAGAATCCTTCTTTCAAGATCAGATGGGATCATTTTCCCTCTAAAAGAAAAAAAAAAAAATAATAAAGGTTTTCTCTGAATAATGTATTCTGTTGCCCTTATAATATAAGCAACAATATGAAAGCAAAAGTCCAATTCTAAAGAGTTGATAATAATGATCAGTTAAAGCAGTTTCTTAGATAGTTCCAGCAAGATTATACTTACCTCCCTGAATGATGCTTGACTATAATGTATGGGATATTAATGAGACTCCTACCCATACTGTGTTGTTCTCTTGTCAAACAGTTGCAATGTTTCCCTACATACCCAGCACCTGCTTTTTGAGGCATCCATTTAATTCTATTAAAACAAGTCTGATTTGGACAAGACATTTGACAATGAAAGGGAAAGGCCAGAACCACATTTGTATTCCAGATCTTAAAATGAATGGAACTGCAATGTTACATACAGACAAAAAGTCAAGAAGAGAGTCATCTATTCTGCCACTTTGATCTTGAAACATTGAATTAAAATATTAAGTTAAAAAGTTATCTAAGCGATGGTGCTAAGATGGTGACCTAGTCAGATACTCCCTCTACAACAAAGGCCCAGGAAACCAAGGGAAACAGATTAAGATGATAGTCCAGGAACCCTGAGCATCAAATGGAAGGATCAGAAATTAGATCAAACCTGATTAGAAGAAATAGAATGAAGCAAAGAATGAGGAGAGTTATGGAGTAGAGATGTCTTGCCAACTGGCCCACCACAGTGTGTCCAGTTTCAAACATTTCAAGCAGCATTCCTGGGTGAGGAACATAGGAGGCAAGTTCACAGTATGCTCGATAAGACAGAGACACAACAGACAAATATGGAGCGAAGCAATGTGAGCAGAACACAAGCTAGATCTTCAGAATGAAAGTCTGGAAAAGTGGGTGAGAATTTCAGACTCGGGCAACCACAGGGCAGGGAAGGAGTCAGTAAATAGGGAAGGAACCATTTACCAGTAGTGGTCCCTCACTATTTGTGTTAGGGATTCACATGGACGGGAAAGCCTGCAGGGTGGCAGCTGGAGAGGCAGGACTCTGGGCAGAAACCAGGAGTGTACCAGTGCCAATGGAAGTGCCCAGCAACCAAAGGAGTGTGTCATCCCACTCCTCCCCAACATCTTCCCAATGACAGAGGAGTGGTCCCTCACCCCTACCTGCATGGCAGCATATAGTGCCTCTCCTTGCTGCCCTTCCCCTGCCCAGAAGTCCGTCTGGTCTGTCCAGCCTGCCTCTACTCCTCAGTAGCCCCTGCCACTCTGCTCTCAGGCAGCCTGTAACAAGCTCTCATATATCACACGGAGAAATCCTCTGCCTCCATAGTCAACGGCACACCCTCTTATAGATCACATGCTGTGTGCCTGCCACCTTTGAGGTCTTTCTTCCCTCCCTTCTTTTCTTTGCCCCATTTGGTGGGAGGTGATGACCACATCCCCACTAGCCATCCACTACAACTCCCACTCCACTGGCTGGACAAGTGGCAATACACACTCCGTTACTGCCAGACCAATGACCGATGGTGGTAACCAACACCTACCCAGGCCATCCTCACCTGTTGTACGCAACCAGGGAACAAAGACCTATGCCCATACCCCCACCTAATACCTATCCATTGAGAAACAGGTGATGGGTGCCCCAGTGCTGCCAAACCATTAACCAGAGTGGCACACCTATCCCACTGACCCAGATGTATCAAAACAATATCAAAAAATTAGGATGAAACAAACCAACATGCAATCAACAAATATATACAACTTAACACTACAATGTCTCAGGTAACTTCAAATTACACAAAGAAACAGGGCAAAATGGCTCAAGCAAGTGACCAGAATAAAAAACTGGAAAACCCATGACATCACCAGGACTTCTTTTAATTAATAATAGTGTATCTTTCAAATATAATGGTGAAATTGGGACATTCCCAGATAAACACAAATTAAGGGTATTTGACCAAAATTATAAGAAATACTAAAGAGATTATTCAGCTAAGTGGCAGGGTACAAGATCGATATAGTAAAAACTCCTTACATTAATGAAGAGAACTCTGAAAAGGAAATCAGGAAAACACTATCATTGGCAATAGTCACCCAAAAGATTAAATACTTAGGAATAAATCTAACCAGAGATACAAAAGACATATAATAAAAAAAACCCCTCCAAAACACTATTTCAAGAAACCAACACGACCTACATAAATAGGAGAACACACCATGCTCCCAGACAACATTGTAAAAATGTCAATAATACCCAAAGTAATCTATAGATACAATGCCATCCTCATCCAGATTCCATCAATATTCATTAAAGAAGTGGAAATACTAATCACTAATTTGATACTGAAAGGAAAGGATACCTTAGATTAGCTAAGCACTACTAAAGAAATAAGGTGGCCTCACATTTCCCAGTTTCAGCCATGGGAGTCAAAACATCTGGTAACTGATACAATGACAGACACATAGACCAGTGAAACAAAATTAAAGTCCCAAAAGTAAATCCATATACCTATGACACTGTGGGATAAAGCACTAGACCACAAGGTTGGCTTGAACCACAAGATTGGCAGTTCAACCTCATCAGCCACTCCTCAGCTATGAGTCAGAACTGACTCAACAGAACTTAGTAACAATGTTGTTGTTGTTAGGTGCCAGCAAGCTAGTACAGACTAATAGCAATCCTATGTACAATAGAATGAAACACTGCCAAGTCCTGGGCCAACCTCACAATTGTTGCCACACTTGAACCCATTGATGCTGCCATTTTGCCAATCCATCTTGCTGGGGGTCTTCCTTTTTTTTTTCTCTGACCCTCCACCTTACCAAACATGAGATATCCTTCTCCAGTGACTGGTCCCTCCTGACAATAT